GTTGGACCTGTAATCCCGTGGTGGAACTGCGAACACTAAGGAGGGACAAGTATCGATGGATCCTCCTCTTGAAGGTAAATAGATTGTAGTTCGCTGGAAATACATCTGTGGGTAAAGAATTCCACAGTGAAGATGTCCTACAAAAGAAGGAGTTCTTGAAATATGTTGTTCTAGGTGTTTCAATTTTGACTGCATATTGGTGTGAGACTTGAGCCAGCCGCGTTTGGCGAACAAAGGTCATTCCAGGGGGGACAGCTGATGACAATTCAACAGAGCATCGTCCATGATAGTAGCGATAGAAGAGTGTTAGGTCTGCAACGTCTTTCCGATGTTGTAAAGTTTGCAGTGATCTTGTCAGAGTTGGGTCATTGATGAGCCTGATGGCTCTTCTTTGAACCGACTCCAGCAACCTCAGGGAGTGTTTTGGAGCTTATCCCCAGACGTGCGAACAGTACTCAAGGGATGGTCGAATCTGGGCTTTGTAGAGTGTCAGAAGCTGTTGTGAGGTGAAATACTTCTTCGCGCGGAAGAGGAATCCCAGCTTTTGAGAGGTAGCTCTGGCTATATTGGCAACATGGTCATGCCAAGATAAACTGTCAGATACCGTGATGCCGAGCATTGATAGTGATGAACTGATTGGTAAGGTTCTTCCAGCCATAATTGTATCAGGACCCGCACGGTTAGCCTTCTTAGAAAAAACTGTTGCTTGAGTCTTCAAAGCGTTGAATTGTACGAGGTTCGAATTGCCCCATTGTTGGATCCTTTCCAAATCGTCGTTGACGGTCTGGATCTGTTGCAAACCTTCCGATTATCTTCTGATAATTCTATCTTTAATAGAGACGAAGGAGAAAATTGCCGGCAGGATTTTTAATGCATTTGAGCAAAATTTTCTCCAACCAGTCAAGCAGCCCAAAAAGATAAGTAAAGGAGATACGTCGGTTGGAACGAACCCCTCCCCTTATTGCCCCCCCCCCCTCCGAACCCTTTTTTTATTTGCTTTACGCCACTGGATTTGCTGATTGCTGGGTACTTATTACTCTCTTGATTACTCCCGATTAACTTGTTTTTTTTTTACTACTGGAGCTGGTCATGGCTGGTAATCATACCCCCCATTACGTTTCTCAAACCCCAACCATTAAGTTACAGTAAAGTAACGCATACACACAGTTCCAAGAACTTATTACTTCCGAAATGTGGAAAAAATCCAATACCTACCTTGACACTCCAAGAGCTAAAGAATGGCTGCCGTCAAAAGGAATACAGAAGTTGGATATCATGAGTGCTCCTGTTCAATAGCATAGACTACAGAAGATAATTTTTGTCAATAGGTATAAGAAGTACCAAAGATTACTGAATGACTAGAATAGATTATCTGTCTGTGGAAGTACTCTGTAATTAGCAAATTCAGTGGCGTAGAGTAATTAAACGAGGTTTAGGCACATATTAACAATTTAGGGGGAGCAGTAGTGAGGGGATTCGTTTCAACCGGTTTATCTTCTTTACTTCTGAATGCTTCTAATTTCTTGTGAATTACCGTGCACAAGAGAAGGAACAATTCGAAGCTTGAAATGGTATTTGTTACATTTATTGCAGCAAATAATTCTTCGTCGTAATCCCAACTGATAAGTCAGACAACGACACATACTAATTCATCGCATAACATTATTATACTGACTAAGACTAAGCAGTGAGCACTTAGCAATGAGCCTGCTTCCTGATAGAAGCAGATACGCGTTTTAACTACGGAGTGGGAATTGATCAATTGTATTCACGACCGGGCGTGAAGTGACACTTTATCGCCCGATTTGCGGGAGTGGAGTAGCACTTTAGCACCATAGGGCGAGAAAAGAATACAGAGGACGGTAAAGTAGTCCGGTAGGCAGTGAAGTAGGTTATCGGGCGGTAAAGTGAATTCACTGTTTTTCCAGTAATTTATAGTGGATAGTTCTTCCAAAATCATGAATAAATTCCATATTGACAGTAAATAAATGTCCAAAACGGTCGCTATACAATAATAATCATATTCTCAGAATTTCCAACTCAAAAATTCTCACAAATATCACAAAATACAGTTAGGTACTTATAAGATTTGAGTATATAAAAAACAGGAACGAATAGTAAAAATAAACAACAAAAATACAAAACAAATAAAAAAACTAAACGTAAGAAACAAACTGTTATGACAGAGGTATATAAAAAATTTAATTCTATCTGAATCAGATGAAGTATTGTCCTATTTTGGTTTATGCATATCATTAGTACCTATGTACATATGTAAAAATAATTGAAACACAGGCTGCCAAAATATTTTGCAACTTGTAAGTGTATGTGATCAACTAAAGATTAATAACTATATAATGAATTATAATAATGAATAGGTGTCAACATATTTTTCAGTAGATTTTAAAATGAAAAAAAGGAGATATACTGAAAATGCACTAGAATTGGCAACCCTGCAGCGGACGAGAAGTGTTTGCGGACGAAAAGTTAGTATCTGCTGACGAAAAGTACTTGTCTCCGGAAATAGGCGGTTTTCAGTTAGGAAATTGGAACGTTAAATGTGATTTTTCGTAGGGGTCGACGAAAAAATATTTAATTTGTTCATCGCCTCTCAAATGTTTCATGCAACCCTTATAGCGGATTCCATTGGTAAAACTAGTGCGCACTCAGTGTATACATTTCTCATTCTACAACACGTCAAAAAGAAGGACAGATATACACTGAGTGCATAAATCCTCCACCAGTTCATGCCCAATGAAAACCGCTTTTAGAGTAAGTAGTCCAGTTGCATACTTGATTATCGCGTGTATCTATTAAAATGTGAGCTGGTCGACTGGTTCGATGACATCCCATTCTAATTTGCATCGTTAATTGTACAGTCTGTCCAAGATAAGGTTGCACAGCATGGGGATCTCGGAAACGGTAGGAGATACGAAGTCGGTTAAATGGGGAAAAAGTTGCGCATTCGGAGGCTCATACCAACAGCAAATTTTCAAAATTTCTTTTAGTTTTTCAGTTATATCGAAAAAAGTGAATTTTTGGAATCTCTATTTTATTTTTTTTCTCCATTATTATTAGAGATACAGAAAAACTGAAAATACTTTTTCATAACAACTTTTGATGACGTTTAACTTGGTGATACCGATTTGTCTATGCGACGTTTCGTATTCGTAGAACCATCATCAACTTTTGTTTTTTAAATACGGCCCTGATAATTCTTTCACAGATTCTGAAAGCTTTTTTTTTCTGAATTCAACAATTTCGAAAATTTTCGGAGGCTGTTGGTATGAGCCTCCGAATGCGCAACTTTTTCCCCATTTAACCGACTTCGTATCTCCTACCGTTTCCGAGATCCCCATGCTGTGCAACCTTATCTTGGACAGACTGTATATTATTTTGCAATAATTCTGAGTAAACAAAAAATACTTGATCGTGAGGAGAATAGTCGAAGTGAAACAGTTTTCTTGGCAAATAATAAGGTTCCCCGAATTGGTTTACGTTCACAAATGTAATGACCTCGTTCGCAATGATGTCGATAAACGTTTTCGACTGACTCCATTCGATTTTCTATTCGATTTCAGTATTATTCTTTCATATCCGTCTTCTTTCCCAACAGATAGCTAATAAAACTTTAAAGGTTGCTGGAAATTCGCCATTCAACCTTTTTATATTCATTCGCCAATTTTTCCTTGGCTCACATGAAAGTTCGAATACGTATACTGGAATGGAAGCAACGCTCCAGTTTGTTTGTTTCTGTCTGCATGTGTGTCTGTATCCCGCTGCTCAAAGATTAGAAACTGCAAGACTATTAGAAAAAGCTATCGATATTGGCAGATAATGGAGAAAGTCATGCAATTGAGAACCCGCAATTCTTCGAACGGATATTTGAAGTTTTTATTTTGTCCTCTGCTCTATCGAACTATTTTTCAGATCTAATATTACATTTTGACAATCTATTCTGAGATAGTTCACGCAAATTTCTTATGTAAATTGGGTCCTGGTGGATTTTTCTCAATTTTTGGTATTATGTAGTTCATGTGATTCAAAAACACATTTGCATTGCGCCATCCCCCACAAATGAATAGTTTTTTTGCTAGGGGAGAGTTGAATTAACATTTTGACCGAATTGATTATTTCTATTCCTATTCTATTTCTATTTATTTGTTCAACATGTGAATTCAACCCCCTGTAGCAGAAAAACTGTCCATTTTATACATTTTATAGGCTTGTCACTCGATGATTTTTTGATTGGTATCTTATGGAGTACTCAATATCGAAAAATCAACGAAATCCATCGAACTCTTTTTCACGACGCCTCCATCAGGTGGGGGGCAATAATGCAAATGGGCGGTTTCCGTGAATCCGCGTGGTAGAACATTTTATATTTCTTTTGTTAGTTGGCGGAATTTTGTTTTTCGTTTTTACAAAATGGTAGGTCCCTCAATATACATTTTTCAAAAAGGATATATTTATAGGAGATATCGAATAGAATAAAAAATTTCAGAATATTGCTCATTCTCTCAGAAATAAATGATCAATTTGGTCAAAATATAAACTCAAATTGTTTATTTTTGGGGCTTGGCGCAATGCAAATATGTTATCGAATCACCATGAACTACATAATACCAAAAATTTTGAAAAATCCACCGGGACCCAATTTGAATAGGAAAGCGGGATCCTTCAGGTCAGTAGTACTGGGAAGGAGATTTCAGTAGTACTGGTCGGTATGTCGACCCTCTTCTGAGACATATTTGTTCACGAAGGATGAATTCGTTATCCCAGGAAACAAATTGTTTCAGACACACCGACCAGTTATACCATAATCTAGTGACTTCTTCAGTGCTACCAACCTGAATCTGGTGCAAGAACTTGCATATGGTCCAGAATCGACCCAGCTATACTACTACCAACAACAGGTATACCTAAGATGTTCCTTTGGAGAGTGTTTTCGGGAAATTTTCCGAGCGAAGGTGGGTAAGAACCAAGGAGAAATATTCAAATCAGATTGAAACTTTTCCCAAATTGGAATTTTGCAGGTTTATATAATTCTGGTGGCACTTTCTCAAAAAAGAATTCATGATGGCGCCTCCAACATGGCCTCCTGTCTGATCCGCCTGAAAATGTATACCTGAAAGTTTTTGAGGTGAAGGAAGATGGCTGTCTGATGAGAAAACGATACTAGATTAACTGTTTAGGAGAACCTACAATCAATTAGTTTTTTCTATTTTGAGTTAACGTTGTTTAGTCTAGGATATCAAAAAGAACGTACTTATATGTATATTGAGTTGGGCTGAATGGGGTCGGGCAGAGGAGATGAGTCGAGTAGTCATCCAGTCATTTGGTGACGCTAAAGCGCCCTGAAAATCGACAATAGTTTCAAAGTTGTCCAAAATATTCGTATTTCTGATTTTAAATTAGTATACATCGCCAGGCTAGTGTTTTCGCCCAGTGTCATACCTTCATTTTCCCTCCAAATCACAAATATACATCAATTACGCTTCATTCTCAATCTCGCACGAAAATTAAAATTTGTTCATTACTATTTTCTATCCTCTTAGAACAACCCCGACTGTTACACAGCTAGTTGCTGAGTGATTTGTTTCAAAATTTGTTATTTTTTTCGTGAGTGAGTTAAAATGCCGAACGATAATTATTGTACACTTTGTGATAAGCCGCAGGACGATGTAACCGAAATTGTGAGTTGGCAGAGAGGATTGAGAGCCATTGTAAGAGCTAGCGTGAGGAGGAAAGATGGTCAAAATGATATGTTTGAAAGATCAGACTCTCTCACAGTTGATGTTTAAGGCTAAAGAGGGCAATCCTCCTGCGCAATCACGATCAGCTAAACATATTTTTGCATTTCGAACTCATTGTTTCCTGTGTGGTAATGACGATGAACTCTGCTGCGAAACAAAAAAAGTTTACTCCATCTGCACGTGACCCTCTCTATCAGGTGAGAACTAACAATGTGAGAGGTAATGTTATTCAACATGTCAGTACTTTGAATGATGATTGTTTCCGAGCCATTGAACACCGTTTAGGACCTATTGGTGATCTGGTTGCGGCTGGTGGTCAATATATACCATCATCGTTCTTGTATGCAAAATTTCCTGATTCGCACATCCACTTACAAATCCAAAGTACTTGTCGGCTGGCCTTCATCCTCTACCCATGCCAGATTGGAACCAATATACAACCATCTCGAGACCAATGACGAGGAATATATAGTATGACATTTTCATTACACCAAAACAACCCTACATTGTCTGTTCTAGAAATACAGGGTACAAGATTCTCACAGAATCCTGGTATACAGCTCAACAAGCGTCGTCAGTAGCTAAAGAACGACTTCGTATAGTTAGGACAGCAGCGGCTATAATCGTTGAAGATATACGATCGCAAGTGTATGATTTGACAGAGTATCCTCCACCAGGAGTTTTTGAAAAAGGCAAATGACCCAATACCTTCAACCCTCAGAACATCCTTTGAGACACTGGTACTGAATAAGAAACGAGGAGATTTAACGAGAAGAATTCGCATATCCATTGCTCATGCATTGATATCAGCCGTTAGGCCAAATTCATTCGTTTCATCGTTGTCGGTCGGCTTGTCAGCATCCTTTTACAAGGAATTTGGTTAAAAAAAATGATTGAGATCTTATCCTCCCTATAGGGTTCAGTGCGAGTTACCTAGAAGCTGTCCGTTCGAAACTTCTGCGATCATGAGGAAACCGTTAACCGTTAATCGAAAATCTTTTTCACAAAATGTGTACGATACTTCAGACCCAATCAACGAATGACGCAAATTCCGTGGACAGACTGTAGGCTTTGAAAGTCTGGAATACGAATATTTTGAATAACTTGAAAACTGAGATCAATCTTCAGCGCGCTCTAGCGGCTGAACCAGATAAGTTAGCTAGCTGATTTTCATCTTATTTTCTTGTAATTTTCATTTGCTTTCATTTCCATCTGTGCTTATTTTTCTTCATATCAAGTCGTTTCGGAGTTATGAGCAAAACGCTGAGACAAATCCCGATTTTTCATAATTTTCTGACATTTTCATGGTGAAGCCATATCCGAATCTAGTCGGTAACTGAATTTTCAGATTCAGCATCCCAAAGAACATGGTATAGATCTGTTGAAAAGAATTCTCTAGCAGTTTTTGCCTGTCCAAACTACCGAATGATTGGACTATAGTTATTAACGGGACAGCAGAGTAGAATGACCGGCCTTGCGTTGCTTCTTTTCTCAATTCGGTTCAGAATACACTTTCTATAAAAGTAGCTTGTAAGCTTGTAGTTATTGGTGTTGGTATCTTGTTTATTACTTGTCATGTGATTCAACTGGTCATTTAGATTTCAATTGATAACATTATTGAGTCTGCTCAACATCGGTGGTTTGATCACGATGTAATATAAATACGTCTCTATCAATGAGAATCCGATTAGCATATTGAAGTTCCTGATCTGCATAACCCTCGGCATAACCGACGTTGTTTGGTTGCGTGCTTCAACAAAACAGACTGCTCTGGTAAATACTGACTTGCTGTGAAAATTCCTGCCGAACAATCAGTTCCACAACAGCGTACTCTCAGCGGAATAAACTTGCTGCCTGTTCTAATTTCGTCCGACATGGAGATGGAGAACCGTAAATTTACATACAGATTAATTCTGCGCTACATATTAAACGCTCAGATCCGGACCTCATCTGGACCAAGTTTGGACCATTCAATTTTTCTTTTTTGATTCTGCCGGATGAATTCAGGAAAGGTTACTAACCCTCATTGTTAAAAAATGCTATAAAATAGTGTTCAAAAAATAGATTCCGAACCCTATAGCTATGAATAAATGGTTTGGATTGAAACAATTATAGGTCGCGTACACGATAACTATATTATTACATCTCCTGAAGAATCTGTTGCTAGGAATCTTTGATATTGTTTTTCTCATTTCCATATATGTGTATCATAGAACTTTGTAATACTATAGGGCAGCGAATGGTCAGACCAAATGTCAACTTGAAACAGCAACTTCGCGATGTTCCGAAGTTGTCATATTTCTGTAGAACAGGTCACCATCGCATAATTTCTCCGTATTGGCATATATTAACGGCTCCGAATTGGTATGCAGCTCTCATCTTTCCGACTATCAAGAATCGGCAAGTGGATTGCCCTTTGGATTCCGTTCCTTTGTACCTAGCTATTAAATCACGCAAACTTCTCGTCGGTGCGTTATATTCGAGTAGCAGAACCCGCAATCAGGTTGGCTGGGGCTGAAGCCAACGTTATTCAACCTATTCACGACAAAAGGGAAACAATTATTACCTCCCTAGGGCTCAAAGCCCGCTCAACATTTCACGGAAACGCGCTAATCAACATGCTGGAGGTCTGTTAGTCGAAGTAAATTTAATTTATCGTCGTTGACATTTCATCATGAATGTGTATACCGATGCATATTGGGAGCGAGAGGCAAAGTTGGCATTTGAATATTCATTCATTAAAGGCTAAGATGAAGTTGAAATTTGCTTGGTGGGACTATAGAGCGAGAAAGCAATGTTAGTTTCGTGTGAATGTGAAGATATTTATTCAGTAGTTTTGCAAAAATTACTGACACGGTACCAGGACCGTGTTCAAAAACACAGTAATTTTGTGGCCCATAAGGTGCTTGATGCCATAGCATGCAACCATATATCTACTGTCAACTGAAGATAATAAGTTCTTGAGAATTCTTCCTTTCGCAAAGAGGTCCAAAGCTTTGCCGTTCTATAGACAAATGAGTTTTGGTTGAGAGTTGTTCAACATATTTCGAGGTTGAAGACGAAAGGATGTGCTAACTGAGCTTGTCTAGTACCTCTAATTATTGATGGTGTTGCTAGTGATGGAATGATAACAGAGATTTCCGAAGGTCATTTCCTGTAGAAGTACCTAACAATCAAGGAGTGAGGAACTCGTCAACAGTTCCAAGGATGTCAATGAATTAGTGATTGTGATGGTATCACCCATCTTGTCTCTGGAAGGAATCTACAAGCATCAGCGTATGTTTGAGTGCTGAATCCCATTATGTGAGAAGCTGTTGAGGTGTAGTTAATATTATGACGAAGGAATCATAATCCTCGTCCGCCATATAGGATCCGCCATTTTGAATTTCCCGATTTCCACAAAGGAATCATAATCTACATCGAAAACACCCAGATACCAATTTTGAATACAATCGGATCATAGTTACAAAATTCGCCATTTCGAATTTTCGGATTTTCACGAGTTTTAATATTTATTATCCCATTCCGGACTAGGAGAAATGCAAAAAATCAGATATCATGAAAAAGATCAAAGGATTAGTGAGTGTGGTATCACCCACCAGGCGAACGGCTTTTCTCTGGATGGAATCTAAGACCATCAGCGTAACTTTGGGTGGTAAACCCCATATTTTATGTGTGATCAGTATTCTAAAACGGAACGTGTCTGTGCTCTGTTGATCATGAGAAGCTGTTGAGGTGTAAAGAAGCTTTTCGCACGAAATAAGAATCAGAGTTTTTATGAAGCAGCTTTCGCGATGGATCTGGTATGATTTCTTCATAAAAGAGTATTGCTGATGGAATGAAATGGAAAGTGGACTTTGTTGGAATGGTGATATAGCTTATGCAAAGTCAGGTGGAACAGATTATGAAAGAAATGAAATTTAAACGTTTGAAGGGACCGACGGCCCTCGGTGATGTGTTGTTCCAACTTTGCATAGACTTTACCAGACATTGATATATCGAGCATACCGAGTTCCGCCTTTCTAGGTTGTTGGTTCCCCTGGCTGTAATTCCAGCAAGATTATGACCTGCTTTGTCACACTCTCCTGGAAAGGAATTGACATTCTGGAAAAGAACGCAGCATGGAGAGTATACTATCATCTGCAAAGCTGGGGATAGTGGTTTTTCTAAACAGATCATCAATATGGATTAGGAACGATGTTGGTGATGAAATTGATCCTTGTGGAACGCCAGAATTGATGGCGATGGTATCAGACGATACTCCGACCACCACCTTATAGAGCGATCTGCCTGAAAGAAAACTGGATGAAAGAAGGCATAGCTGAGGAGGTAAGCCGTATAATGGTATAGTTTGTGGAGAAATCCTTGGTGCCAAACAATGCTTTCGACATATGTAACGCCACAGCTAGTGTTTCCCAATGTTTTCTTCATGAAGCTTGCCATATATGGGTACCGCATAAGATCAATGTCGATTACTTGCTCCATCACTTTGGAGATGACTGATAACAGAGCAATGGACCTGTAGGAAGGTAGTGGTTGAGCAGGTTTTCGTTTCCTTCGAATAAACAAGTTAAAGAATGTTTGTTCGATTGTACATCATCTCAACTTGAAGAGCACGATGAGCTGAAACTTAATACGTCTATAATCTATAGGATCTACGACCACCTCTTCAATGGTGTTCCCAGTTGAAAGCAGAAAGTATTAATTGTATGAAGTCACATGTACCGTCTATTCTATCTCACTCACTCAGTATCTCTATCCGGTGTATGAGGTCGCCCTGGGTGCCGTCACCGATCTGGCAGGTGTAGTCGCCCTGGTCGGAGTGCCTGATGTCCTTCAGCTGCAGATTGTAACCGACCAGGGAGATGCGCGCGTCCATGCTGATGATCTGCTGGCCGGCGCTGAGCAGCGTCGTGCCACGCTTCCATACGGTCACGAAGGGACCTGCCAAAACAAGAGAGTTCAAATCGAATAAGGTCGATGGTACCTTAAGGTGGGAACAGACCAAGCGAACATTGTTGTCCAACAGTGGAACAACACTCAAGAAACACACAGTGTGTACGTGTTGCACAACAGTTGTGCAGCTGTTGCCGAACTGATAGTCGGTGTTCGCTCCCGAGGCGGTACATCAAAGGAGAAACAGTGCGCACACAGCGTCTGCAGTGTAGACGCATCTTCTTCGTTTCTCATGGTGTCTGACTGAAGAAACACCGGAGAAAGCAGGCTGATGGTCGATGTTGCCAAGCAGTTTGTCGAAAATGTTTTCTCCCCATGAAAACAAGTAAGCCAACAGTTGCCTACCTGTTGTTCAACTGTTGCACAACAATATTTGCTTGATCTGTTCCCACCTTTAGACGTTTACGGAGAACGGGACGCTTATTTACAAACCCTACCAGTTGACGTCACCAGCGAGCTGAAATCTGTGAGCCTGTGTAGCCAACAGTGACGCTACAAAAGTATATTTTTTTTCGAAAAATATACTTTCTGAAAAAAGACCTGTGGAGGCATTCACTGTTGAGGCCGAGAGTGATTCGCTATTTCAGTGATGTTTTTTTCCAAGATCAGCGAGCTTCTGTAGCATTACTATCGGCTCCACAAGCTCATAGATTTTAGTACGCTGGTGCCGTCGTATGGGAGGGTTTGTAAATATGCGAACGGGACATAGGATAATTCTAAAAATTTGGTTACTCAAGTTGTTCCGCTTGGTTCATCTAGCTAAAAAATGTTCAGCAATGCAGACTCGAATGCAGAGTTGATGCTTATCCATCTCTGCCCATTTATGTAATATTGTGAAAGCTAATACATAACCTATAAAATACCACACGTAACTTTGGTACTATTAGGTATACAACTGAGTATATATAGGAATTCGATATATCTGTGTAAACTCCTTTTTTATAGAACTGTAATGTTTTTAGGAGTTGGTGCTTATACGAGAAAGTAGTAGAAACTTTGATATTTCAAATTTCAGGTCCAGCACCACCTGGACATTAGGGTAGTACCGTATTCTGACAACGCAAAGATCGGAATACATAATGCAAAAACAGGAATAATCAACTTTTTCAGAAAATACACAAATAATACGCTATTCCGACCTTTGCGTGTCAAAGGCGTTGAGGTGGAAGGCAAAGCCACTATGAATTATCAGGAGGTAGTCCTGGGCAGACGTATGAACTTTTTCGCCAAGACGGATCTCCCGATGGCATATGCCAACGCTTCAATCAGGAGCTTGTATCCGCTGTTAGAAGGAATTCCGCGATTACTATGGACAATAAGCTCCTGATTTACAAGGAAATCATCCCACTTTAACATACGCCTGTCCGGTGTACTGGAGTATTTCGCTTTCCCATATGAGAAGAATACAATGCTACAGAATAAGGTACTCATCTGATTTGTCATATACTACACATAAATTGAAATAATACTCATATTTTTATTTTATAGAAACGAGGAGAGGAAATCCCAAATCATCAAGTAAATGAATTTGAAGTCTTGCTCGTCCTGAGAAATTCGCCTAATAAGCTATGGCTTCATTTACTTGATGATTTGGGATTTTATCTCCTCGTTTCTTTGAGTTTCTACCAGTGTTTCAATATGTATTCTATTTTGTATTGTCCTGTACGTACCTTACACTATACAATCATGTTATATTAGGATTTTATTCATACCAGTGTTTGTTTCGTACATATTCTATTTTTTGAATCGTTATTTACCAGTATTTTGAATCGGGTGTTGTGTTGTATGGGTAGGTGAAACCTATTGAAACTTCTTCCACCAAAGAAAGAAAATATACGCAAAATCATTTTCAATGACAAATTGGCCTCCACTGTGAATGGGAGGTGATTTTTAATGTGTCAACAACTGCAGATGAATTCGCGCTGTCGTACCCTGCCTGGACGCGATTTTATCCCAGTTTGTTCAGCAGCCATGCACCCTCTTCATCCCCTAGTATCCCCCTCCACCCATATAAACCTCCTTTCCCAGACAACATTCGCCACTTTTCTAACGCGAGCGGCACCGCGAATTTGCATAACAAACTTTCGTTTTTTCTCAATGGAAATAATGACGGCGGTTAGTGGATACGCGGACTCGTTATTCGTCATGTCTTTTCATGCCGCTTTTTCTTTATACGCTCTCGAAGCAAGGGAGAGAATTATAGCTGCGGATATACAGGGTGTAGATGAGTAAGTGAGAAAAATTTAGGAGGTGATTTCTGGTCATATTTCAGGCACACAAATTAATTTTTCTACTCACATAACTGAAATAGCATTTAGCGTACGGATATGTACCACGCTAAGTGATCGTGATCACGGATTGGCGATCTGTGATTTATTCAAAATATCAAACACGTCACCATGGCAACAAAATTTCTTGAACACATTACCACGGCGACAGAGTTTGTTAAACACTCCTTCAGTCGTTCGAGTCCTGCCCAGCCTGTCAATAATAGGAACTGTCAACTGTCATTTTCTAATTTTGTTGCAATCAGAATCATTCAAACAAATCCTTTTTTTATCAGAATTCTTCATTAAAAATGTATGCGAAATATATAGGAAAGTGAAATCGAAGAGAATGTTTTAGGTAGGCACTTGCATATTTCCAAAAACTCTATTATAATCTAATTTTCAGAATTATGGGATATTGTCAAAGAGAGGAATTCTGAGTTCGTAGAAAAAGTATAGTTTTAGACACTCGTTTATCAAACACTCGCTCCACTCTGCTGCGCTCGTGCAAAACGTTGGATCTGATAACAATGATATCAAATTGTATAGCATCAAAAGTTGCCATGAAGATGGTTTTTCAGTTTTGTCATAACTTCATTATGATACTTATATAATAATACTGGCCCTCCTTATCTTATAGATTACTTTAAGTCAAATCGAAGTTTGATTGTTTCCTGAGAAATTTAGCGGGGTGAAAATGTAACACAAGAAACAAGAGAGTTGTATATTGTTCACTCTAATAAAAATAATATACTCGATAAGAAAACAGTGGTGTATAGCGATATTCAGTATTCACCATTGAAATCGATAAGCGACGCCACTGGAATTATTATTTCGAAGTTGATTATATCAAAATAAGATAACAAACAAATAATAACAATATCACTAAGTTTCATTGTAATTGAAGAAAAGTCTTTTGAGTAATTGATAATAAAATGTTATTTTTATGAAAACATTGATATATACCGTTTTATTCTGGAAACGAAGCAATAACCTTTCTTGGGAAAATCACGTGAGATCAATTGCTAAAAGTGCATCCCAAAAACTTGGCTTTCTGTTTCGGGTCAGGACCTATTTCACTTCCAGTCAGCTGCTTATGATCTATAAGGCACAGTAGATCCGACCTGCATGTCCTGGAATACTGTTTCCATATTTGGAGTGCAGCACCCAAACATACCCTGAAACTGTTGGATTCTGTCCAAAAAAGGACAATTCGTCTCTGCCTGATGCCTCGCTCACAAACTCACTCACTTCTCTGGTACACCGTAGAAAAGTTGGCGATCTGGCTCTATTTTATAGATATTTTGATGGTCGATGCTCTTCTGAAGTATCAACAATTGTTCCTCCCTTGGCAGTCCCCGCGAGATTAACCCGTAGAGTTGAGGCTTCGCATCCCTTCGTGGTCACTTTGGAGACCTGCAGAACATCTCTTTCCAAAGAGTCGTTCATCCATAGCGAACAGCGAAGCTCTGGAACACATTGCCAAGGAAGGTGTTCCCCGAGGCATATAACCTCCAGAAATTTAAGAAGAACACCACTTCCTACCTTATTTCCCTCGGTTCTCAGTTCTCACGGTGTTCTCTGAACATTACAGAATATCCCTTTTCGTGAGAACCAGAACATTAAAAAAAGTTAAGACGAATGATAATATGCATTTTTTTCATATAAAATATGAGGTGGAATACTGCCTAGATTTTCCCCCAATTTTTTATGCACACCTTGTATATGGGTTCTTGCGAATGCTTCTTCAGTTCACTCGCGATTCGCGTTTTCATGATCCGAGTATTAAAAAAGAAGGGGTGAAATTAAAAACGCAACGACGTCAAAACATAAAGAGATGTAGGTATTTCATGAAGCGAAATATACGAGGTGGTCCACATTGAAGAAGCGAAACTTCGACAATTGACAAAGGAAAGTTCTTGAAGACACTACTTTTTCGGGATACAGGGCGTTAATATCGAAAATGAACAAATATCTACAGATTGAAAAAATGGAATCAAACAATCTGATTGTTTGAGCCCATTCAATATCTCTTCATAAACAATTTATGATTGTGCTCGATTGAATAAGATCCAGCGTTTATGCAAGACATATTTACTTGATTCAAAGTTTAAATTTGCTCCATGGATTTACTTATTTCAAGATTATATGTTGTCGTGCATATATGACACCTATATTCGCACCAGATAGCGATCAAGAAGCTATCTCAGGACAGCCCTGTACTGATGAGAGCCAACAGCTCGAAACCGGTCTGCAGGTAGTTACGGGTTTCTGAACCACTTAGGCGCAGCTCGGCGTTCAGGAAGGAAACACTTGCGATTTCATTCGTCCATACGAATTATTGCATAGATTTCGGGAGGATGTAATCCATATAGCCAGGAAAGTAGTTGTTTTTCCCGCGTTATCTACTATTTTCGTACATCTTATGAACTATTGAGGTAATGACTTTTGAGTTTCTGTCCATTTATTGTTGCTTCATTCAATTAAATTTTGCTTGAGTCAACAATTCCTTTTTTACGTGTATAAGTTTTCGATGAAAGACCCTGTATACTGGATAATCTATGATAGTACTAAAGGGTAGCCGTTCTTTTTTTGCCGTTCAGTATTGTGTATCATAGATTCAAAGGTTAATTTCCTCCTGGGTGTGATTAATGTA